GAAGATGGACACAGAAAATGTAATTTAATTTCTCTGCTGTTGCACACTTTCAGCAGAGGTGAGAGTCATGGCTGAGTGGCCTATGGGTGCAGGGACTCACAGGTGGCTTTTTGTTTTCTATAGAGCCACTTCTTCTGTACTTTCTGCAGTGCCTTACACCTACACCTTTCACATAATTTCCTTGTCCTTTTATTTCTGCACTACATCTTGGTTATAACTGACTTGACTGTGTTTTAAAATTGCTTGAAGGATGAGTTTTGTCTTAAACAAGCAAAACATTTGGTATTTCTGCTACACATGTGCCTAGGACCCTGTTGGCATTTCCATCCTTTAACAACTACACTTCCAGTTCAGAAAAAAAAATGGTTTTTTCCTCTCTTGCTGTGTGAAAAACCGCAGGAACAGTAAGAAAACAGACCACATGCGAAATAATGAAATTGCCAGTACTCAATGTACAGGACAAATATGCACAGGGCCTGATCCAGAGCTAATTACAAGCAATGGGATGTCACCCACAGATGCCAGTGGAATCTGGATCAGGCCCAGGAGAAGCACACCAAAAAGCAGGGGGAGTTTTTTGTCTCATCTTTCAGTTACAGTAATCATAGGTGTTGTTTGTAACAGTAGTAGGTAACAAATTTTCCAGCAAATGTGTGATTTTAAGTTGACAGTGTCCCTTTAAGCTTATGCACTTCTTCACTTAACTATGCCAGATTTACTCTCCCCTTTCTACTTTTTCCTTGCTCAGAGGTATACATACCATCTGTGCATCTAATATGGTGTTCTTAAATAGCCTCCAGAGTGATTCAATACTTCTTTTTTCCCCCTTTTTAAACCTTCTCTTGGTTAACCCTTTTCCTTGGCTTCTTTAGAGCCTTCTCTTTCAGAGCTCCTGGTCCTTCTTTCTTTAGGATGAAGTTACCAACTTCCAGCACTGAAGTCAGGAGTATGGCTACCTGTTCTTTTAATGCTTGTGCATTAGTCAAAACTCAGTGGGGAGTTACTCTGTCAAGGCACTGATACTGATAAATTGCTTCTGCAAACAGAGGTACAGACTGAACCATTCAAAAACAGCCAAAGTTGATCATTATTGCTACTACACCATGAAAGTATTCAGTCTACTTCCTCACAAATATCTAAATGTTGGTGTACCTTTTAAAGCTTTTAGGACTTATATTTAGTACTAGGAGCTCTCTTCCACCTCATTTTTAGTAGCACTGAGCACCACAGCTGTGAAAGCCTAGGGGGCTAAATTAAAAATACTGAGAGCAATTGAGACTGAGTTGTTACTTGATTTATAACTCAACAGGTTTCTCTTTTTTCATCTGAGAATTTCAGGGGAAGGAAGGGCCACAGGCACACAGGACACTGCAGTGCTGCATCCAGCTCTGTGATATGGGGAAAATGACTGCATTCAGCCAGTGCTAATAGAGACACTGAGCCCTTGATGTTTCGCTCGCTCCGCAGTGAAGCTGCGCCAGGCTGCCATACCCTGCTGCAGATCCTTCCCCTCTCAAAGCCCAGAGAAGTGCCAGGGAGATGCTCTGCTCTGCTTTAAAAGAAAAAGGACAGCAATAGAGCCCCATATCCCCCTGCTCCCTGGTGTTCCAGCCAAAGGACTGGCTCCTGCCTGAGCATCTCCAACAGCCCCTCCGTGTGATGGAGGCAGAGTAAACAAACCAAAACCATCTGAAGCCACACACATCCACCCCCAACTCCTCTCCCACCCCCAAACCCATCAAATACTTTATGACTCTTTCTAAATATTATTAAACAGATGAGTACATTTACTTTAGATATAAAATTGCATCCAGGCTGACAACTTGCAACATATGTTTACTTTCAGCCCAATTTAAATTCAAACGAGCGAGTTGTAAATGCTTGGGTTTCTGACACAGCACAGACGGTCACTGAACTTGGCTGGCCAGCAAGCAATCTAATATTGGTGTAGAAACAATTTTCTACAAGAAAGATATTTGACATTTTCTGACTTTTGCCCTATAAAATCCACCTCATTCTTCCAGCAAGTTTAACACTTGAGCATGGCTTGATATACTGCGAGAAGTTGACTTCAACCAACAATTCCCAGCAGTACATTTTCCTGTTCATCCAGCAGCTTATAAGTTATATCCATTTGGCCTCTCCTAGCCTCATTTAAACTCACAAGGCCAGATTCAAGGTTAATGTGTGTAAAGGTTTCTCCAGTCTTCCCATAAACCAGCAGATGTTTGCAAACAAACCTAAAAGGGATGAACTTTTCTACTTAGAAGGGGCCAAAAGGATAGACAATGTGATTTACTCCCTTGGTCTAACTTAGTTTCATCCTTGAATTTATTGCAAGTTTTCTGTGTGTGATGGAGAGGGAAGTCACCGCGTTGGGAGTAAGAGAGTGATTAAATACAGAGCGTCAGCTGACAAGACATGTCGCAACAGCACTGAACTGCTGCTCACCTGCACAAATTACTGTGCCACCAGTGAAATGTGACAGCAACATTAGCTCCTCGGAAACTTTAACACTAGAAATGACCTTCCACCTTCAGCTGGGCCCCTCAGGTTTTCTACTGCTGCCCATCCTGGTCCCCTCCCTGGGTGGACTGTCACCCCACTAAGCTACACACTTAATTCCAATTTCCACATTCCATACATCCTTTCAGAACTGTGTGTGAAGGGTGTTGCTCACAACATCGTTACTAATCCAAACACGTTTTTGAAAACCATATTTGCTTAATTTTGGTTTTCAAATAAAAATATATAGAGTGAAAAAAATACTCAACTTCCTTTTTCAATATTTCCCTAAGTTAATGAGCTGACTGATAAGTGAACAGATGCATTAAGGCAATAATTTATTCAAATGTCATGATATTTCTGAACAAACATTTAATATGCATTTCTTTATTTGCCCAGCTTGTATTAGTATTAATGATTGATGTGTTCATTAGGAAAGGGAAAAGTGGCATCAAATATAAGCTGTGCAAATTAGGTTCACTTTGGAGATCTACCCTAAGCTTTTGTCAGAATAAAGACTGTTCTTGATGCTCATTCTACGTTGGTATGTGGACACAAAGCTGGAAGGTGCCTAATTTCAGATGAGTCCAAGGCAATGTGGACTAATCTAACACAACATTTCAGATGAGTCCAAGGCAATGTGGATTAATCCAACACAATCTGAGCTGAGAGATGGAACACAGAAGAGAGCAATATTTTTTGAGTGACTGACTAGCTCATATAGGTTGGAGCCAAAGGGGTTCAGAGCTCAAGTAAGCACCATGTGTACTATATCTGCTCATTTTCATTGCTATGCATCTAAAATCTTTAACCAAAAATGCCTTGGTGATGTAAAAATGTCCTGGATGCAGACCATGAAATTCATCTTGCCAAACTTTATAAAGGAGCAAAATGTCTGTTCATCCCCCAGTGTCTTCCTCTCCCCTTCAAAAATTCATCCCAAGTGATTTAAGGCTTCAGTAAAGCTTCTTAGTAACCTCCAGAAAAATGGCTACTGGCCATATTTCTCCCTCAGTCACTCCAGAGGTAGCAAATTCATTCCTTTCTCCAATACCAAGGTGTCATAACATCTATTTAAATCCAAATCATTGCTCTAAACTGCATATACCTAGAGTGCAAAAATCTTAAAAGCATTTCTAGTCAAGTCCTAACATAATTATTGGTGTTTTGTTGTAACATCTGTGTGTAAACAAAACCTACTTCTGGGAAACGGGAGAGAGTCAATCACTGAAGCTGTCCAGAACCGATGCAAGGACACCTCGTGTAAATTGGTTGCTTTGTCTGAATCAAATGCCTCCTGCACAAGAGGCAGCTGTAATTAGCATATTCATCTTGATATAAGCAAAGCAGCCAGAATGCAACACGGCTGATGTAATGTGACATGGCGGTTAGAATTAAAAGCGAACACGCCTTTTAATTGGATTGGATACCTGCTAGTAATTCAGACAATGGGAATTTGATTCAAATTTATAGTATTAAATGGCAGCAGATGGACAGTAAAATGTCCATTGAGTTTGCAAACTGACAAGCATGCTGGGTTTGCCAGCTCCCTTCATTAAGTCACTGGTGGCATCAGTCAGGTGCTGCTGCCCGTTTCATCGCTAGCAGTGGCAATGCATTTTGCTTTGCTGGGGTTGGGCAGTGAGATATTCTCCCTGATGTTCTCAGCAGGTTAGTTTGGAATTTCATTTGCCTCTTGTAATCATGAAAAATCCTAGCTCTGCTTTAGGGAAGGAGTTCTATGTGATTTCTGGGCTTAGCATGCCGTGAGTAAGCAGATGACAGCTAGACAATGATGCCAACCTTCTCCTTCTCAACCAATGCCATCCATTTCTTTCACAGCTCAGGATTTTCTTGCTATTTCAGTGTCTCTTCCAGATCCTTGGTCACTATCTGAGACCTTCTGCCCACCTCAAACTTTAAAACCATCTTCTGCAGGAGGTTATTTTCCTTATCCCTCCTTCTCCAGCCAGTTCCTCAAAGAAGTTTGCAATTGTGCCCCACACTTGAGCTGTTTCCTCTGCAGACTCAGCATCTCATCTGCATTCACTCATCAACACTCATTTGTATCTCAACAAAGCAATCACAGCTATGAAGATGTTTATTGTCTTTTTCCCTTCTACCTTCAAGCACTTGCAAGAAACCTTTTTAATTGGCTGCTGTGGCAAACGGGCACACACCACATCCAGATGTGCACATCCCCACAAAGGCACACGTAAACACACGTGCCCACGTTCCACGCAAACCCACAGAGGCAGAAGAGCCTTTGTGATCCATTTCTTAAATGCTACTTCTCCACAGAACCAAATGCAGACAAATCCATGCAAACCAGGTATGACACCTGCTCTGCACTGACCTTTCTGAACACCTGATTAATGCAAGTTAAATCTCTAGCAGAAACAGATTTTTTTATTCAGAGCCACGTGTGTTTCAAAACTTACTATGGGAAGGGAGTCTAAAGGAACAGCTAAGCTTTTTACTACCTTTTTTTTTGTCAGGGGCATTATTTGCATCAAGTTGCTTTAAGCAATTTTCCAAATTTCAATGAATGATGATCATTTTACAAATTAAATTTTGCAGATGCCTAAGAAAGAGATGAAAGTAGCATTTTTTTTGCCATTACTCATTGGCTTAACAGTGAGATTGTTAAATATTTCTCATGCACTGTTAGGCTGCACAATTAAGCTTGAAATCAAGAGAACTTTCTCTGACAATGCTCAGTAATAATTTTGGGGAATGATAGCTTCTGTTTACTCCTAGTTTTAGTATGTGTTTGTATATACATGTCCATATTAATCACAATGATATACATTAATTAACCAAAAAACTACTCAGGCAGGAGTACTAAAGCTTTATGATGTTTCATGCAGTTTATCATCTTCAAACATAATTTGGAAATGTAAGGAATTGTCTAATGCAACAGAACTCAGGACTAAATAAATGTGTAAGACTTCTTACAGCCCCATTTGATTATTCACATTCATTCTTGCCACGCAGATGAGACAAAAGACCCCAAAACACACTCTGTGTCTGCACTACCAACTCACACTCTACTGCCCATCACTGTCCTGTACAGGCAGGAAAGAGCCATTATTGTTCACATCTTCATAGTGCTAAAGAGTAGTTTGCTTTTACTTTTTGATTTATGTCTTTTTGTTTACTAGTATGAATGAAATTTGACAGCACTGTAAACAAAGACATCTATCTTTTTTTCCTGATTGGGAGGCAGTGAAAACTGGAACAAGGTCAGGTATAAAATATTGTCTGACATGACAACCTTGCAGTCATTTTGCCTCCAATGTCTTAGTCAAATCAAGTAAATTAGCCTTTAATACATCCGTGAACAGAGTCTATAACCTCTATGAGTTCAGTCCTCATTCTATGTTTGGCTATTTGGTCATAATAAATTTGTTTTCTGACCCATTGAGTCAATAAACCTAATTTCAAAATTAATCTTTTCAAGCTTCAAACTCACTGGATCCAATTATAAATCCAATCGTTCCCTAAAAATTTAATATTCTGAGACTTGGTGGTCTAGTGCTTTTTGCCTTTATGTGACTCTTTGGTACTTAACTTTACATTAGGTGGCCTATAAAATTAAATCCCTGAGGAAGGGAGCATCAGAACAGCTCCAAATTTTAAATCTTCAGTTACAAACATTAGTACCAAATGGTTCCTTTTAATTGGTATTATTATGCACAACAGGTTATCATTATACAGTAGCTCATTATGTGCATTGTCTATGCAAACGAGACCAAACAGGAACAGGAATGCAGATGGGGGTTGGTTTTGTTTGAGGGTGGCAGTGGTGGTATTTTTAGGTGTCTTTCTAATTGGATCTAGTCTAATTACTTTGGGGTTTGCTTAATGGGGTTAAACCCCAGATTTTTTCTTCATTTATTTCTGGAAATTTAGATGAACTTACTGTGTTGGAAGACCCATTAGAATTTCAAAACATACCTATTTCTATTCCTGCAAAGGTGTGGCTGCTGGTATAGAGAATTTTAAATGGTCATAACTTCAGGATACCTAGGGTAAAGTTCATGTTTCTTACAAGAAAAGCAACTTACAGTTGCACAAGTCTTTATCCTTACAAACCTCCCCTCCTAGCCACAAAGCTCCCTGACCACCCTGGCTATGCACAGATGCAGAGGGTACAGGGGTGCAGCTTCTGGAGTACAAACAGATACAACTCCACCAGGCCAAAAGCCAGGAAGGACTGATGTGCACCTTCCAACTAAACCACTTGGCTTCAAAAGCACCTGAGGGCAGCAAGGTACCAGCTTATTCCAGTGTGTTGCTAGTTTTTCTAAACCTACTGTGGGAGAGGGCTGGGAAGGAGTGATAAATTGGGAGCAGCCAGTGCCCTGCTGATCTGGGGCTTTCTGGAGCACTTCCAGGGCACTTCAAGGTGGTGTCATGCCAAGCTTTCTCCCAGCTAGAAATGTATGGGCATGCAGCACTGCACTGTGCATTTGCCCTGTGGATGGGAAAAGATTTTGTTATTAGGATGCTGACAAAAATCCTAATTCTGAACACAGCAATTGCTATTCAGGAATGGATAATTTGCAGCATTACTTCGTGCTGTTTTGAGACATTAGTGATGACTTATTCCTTACTGTTTAAACAGTCCTATCATTTTAAACAACCACTTATTACAGCACTTCTTATCTAGGGGAGGGAGGGAAGACTGCTGAACGTGATCCATTAGGAAATTCAAGCCTTAAATAAAGTGACCACAAAATCCTATCAGCTCCCAGAAATGCAGCTGCTGTACATATTTAATGTAATACAACACTATATTGTGGCAGAGATCCACTGTTTAAAGCACACAGAAGGCAGGTGAAATGTGACTGTTTTGTTCCTCTGTTTGAAAAATGAGAAAGTGTAGAGTGGCATAACTTCTTAACTACAAAAATAAGCATTAGACTCATGGAGAAGACAGGTATGCTGTTGGACTAGCAGCAACAGATTAAAGGTCAGCTGTTAAATCTGAAACTATTGCAGCATGGTTCCTTTGATCTTGTTCCTCAAGACTCCACTCTATCACTAACAGGTGAAGAACAAGCAGCATGAGTGTCTGCTGAATTCTACTGTACCTGTCTTAATTTATATGGCAGTACTTCCTAAATGTTCTGTCCCATGATCATCTACTGCCATAAACACATAAGCAAGGGGCAGCTGCAGATTTCCCCTGCTTGGTCAGATCCTGAGCAATTCCACAGATCCAAAGAGGAAGAAAATCTGACTCACTGGCTTAGCTTTGAAGCAGAGCCAATGCAGCAATCAACATGCTATCAATAATGTTATCTCACCATGTTTTGCCAAGTCCTCCTGTAAGACATTTTGTTAGTTTGCAACCTCTTTAGCACATAATAGGACATTTCACTGGTATATGATGGTATATGAAAAGATTAGGAACATCTGTTCTATTTTTATATGTATATGCACAAAAATAATGAATTCAGAGAGGTTTCTGGATGGAAATATTCATTATCTGTCAGCTTCCAAAAGAAGTTAACAGAGGTGTAGGAAAGGGAACCAAGGGGAATGAGATGCTTTAATTCATCCTTTCTCGTAATACAAGGTCAAGGAGGCCTTCAATAAAGCACATGGGTAATAAATAGCAAGTCAGGTAAAAGTGAACTTCTTCATATATTGCCTGACTGATTGAATTTGTGGCATAAGCTGTTACTAAATCCTGCTACTAATGGGTTAGTAGAGGGTTGAAGTACACCCACGTATCATGTTAACACACATTTATTTTCATTTAGTAGGGATCTAAACCTCCTATTTCAGGCTCTAAGCTGTAGGTGAAAGAGAATCCACCAAGACCTGATGTTCTTTCATCTGCGTCTCCAAGGTTTCCCAAAGTATCTGGTACTCATCAATTTTGGACACACAGGACCACCTAACCAGGAGCACTGACAATGCCTCCATTACTACAAACTATCTTACTCATGGAAATGTGTGACTGGAAGTCACAAGTGCATCAGCTGACAGGGATCTGTATCCTGGCAGGCTGGAGCACCTGACAAGCTGTAAGGCACATTGAGCTGAATGTGTATAAATGTGCAGGTGTGCACATACACACATGCCAACTTATTTTCAAAGTATTTCCCTCCTCTACATTTTTTCTAGATAAAAAGGATGTAAACAACACTCCTCATAGAAGACTCGTGACTTTTACTTGCCTGTCTGCTCCAGTAGACACTATGAGCTTGATTCTTCAAGGCTGCCACTAAAATTCCACTCTACTGATTTTTGCAACCTAATTCTTCAGGCCTTTCTTTTTTTTTTTTTTTTGGCAGGATGATGTGACCCAAATTTATAATGGAGGTTAATTTGCTATAACATTGCATCTTGAATCTAGAATCCATATGTATTTATTTGTTATTACCACAGTTGTAAAAGACCAGATTTAGAGACCTGAATTCAGTTTGAACTTGACAGGCTTGGAATGCTCTGTAGAATGATGGAAAATGGCATAATTTAGGAAACCAAAATGTAAAGGGTTTTATGAATGATAAACATTTCTAAGACAATAAAGCTACCCAAAGACTCACACTATTAAGCACCAAAGGGACACAGCTACTTTTTCAATAACTATAAATGCTGAAATTTTTCTTCTCCATTTTTCTGTAAATGACATATTGCACATTCTGCTGCAGAGAAGCAGCTGCTGAAGTAACCTAGAGGGCATTTTCAGGCACTGTACTTCAGTGATTACAGCATTTTATGTAGACATTCAATATTAGGTCTGCATTCTAATTTTAGACAGAATTAAATTTAAATTGAGTAGGAGGGGCTTTCATGCTACTCTAGATGTTCTAACATTGCTTACCTCAAACCAAAAACTGTACAGTGTCTGAATTTTGCAGCAATGATAATTTATTTGCAATGATACACTGTAAAAGAATGAAACTAGAGCTCACTAGCAGCAGTGGAAAGGTGTCCACTGTTGTGATGGGACCAAGACTTAGGCTCTAAAAGCATTTACCCTCTTGCCATGATCCCAATGCCACAGAACTTGGTGACATTGTCAGGCACAACCCTCCTCTATTCTATTTCCATGATACTTCTTAGTTATGTATAACCAGCAAGCATCCTGAGACTGTAAGGCCAAATTGGGAGTCTTAGGTTAATGCTTATTAGTATTTAAATTCCCTGACTCTCACAAAACCCAAACAACAAGCTGAAGGAAACTGAAAGAAAGAAGGTTAGTAAAGAGCTAACAGTCCAACAGACAATACAGGCGGAAAGTGGAGGGACTAGGTGAAACAGAGAAAACAAAAGAAAAGAGCTTCTATTAGATGCTAAATGAGACCCAGGCTGGGCCTGATTAAAGCTATGTCTACGCAGATCACATCTTTCCTTATTTCTCTTACCTTGTTTCTCTTGAAATATGCTCTTCGGCAAGCTGCAAAGCACTTCTCGCTGCAGAAGCATTTCACTTCACTTCCCATACTCAGGGAATAGCGCTTGATTCCAACTTTCTGGCACCAGGCACACATTATTTGTACATTTGACACATCATCTTCTACAACAAAAATATAAGAACAATATTTACATGAGATGCAAACACCTTCCTCAGACATCTGCACACTTAGACACAAACAGCACCGGCTCATCTCATTTCTAACTTCCTCACTGCCTGAGAGCAGAACTGTGCATGCCTGGGATCACCAGCTTCATCCTCATGCCAGCCAAGCTCTGCAGATTGGCAAAGCTAAAATGGCTGGAAAAGATCATTAGCTAAAAAAATGGTGCACTGAAAATCTCTGGAAATCTTGAGAACTTTTCAGCATGTTCAAGAGCGCACAACTTCAATAAACGAGTGACTAAGACTGGAGGCTTAATGAGTATTGCTGCTTTGTTCATGTCACTTACAGTCTGCTGTAGTGAGCCCCTGAGATGCTCTGTTCAGCAAGCTGGTGATAAAATACAGTCAGAAGGTACTGCACCAAGGCAGGTCTCTAACACGAGCCCTCTTCTAAATAAGAAGGAATATGAAACATCCCTTTTCCGTGTTGTTTTGGAATAACAACTAGTGTACAAAACAGGGAGCTCTTATGTGAATGCAGCAGTCACAGAAACACAGGCTGGAGCAAGACAGAAGCAGCAGCACTGTGGCAAAATCTGCCAGGTTACTTTCCAGTCGTTATGCATATTGGTGAAATTTTAATCCAGGCAGAGTTCCCGAGCCTCTTTCAAGCTCTTCTCTAATGTGTGTTACAAATGTGGCATGTTTGCCTTCTGCCATGCACAAAGACCCCAGGGCTTGTTTACTAAAGCGCAGCGATATCCTTGTGTGGTCATCATTCCCACCTTGGCTTCACAGGCAGAGGCAGTAAATAGCTAAGCCTACTAAACAGATCAAGACAATAAGTTATCTCTCTGACTTAAAACTCGGAATTCTTCAGTTCTTATGCCCAGTTTATGATACAGCATGACCTTTCAGCTACAAGCAGCAGCCATTGTCTAACTTCTGGGGAAAAAACATCCCTGAAGACTAATTGTTAAAGCAGTTCCTGGTCCATGAGCTGTGGAGAATTCATAGCTCAGAGATTCTGTCATGCAGCCATCCCATTTCCCTATAAAGGATTTGTTTTTGAAGCTACGCTGTCATCGTTCTGTAAAATTATTGGCAAACTAATTTTTAGCAGAGTGATTTGGCTCCTTTCCCTGACTATCATAACTCAGAACTACGTGCTGCATTTTACTCACCTTATCGGAATAAATATTGCCAGTTTAATAACTTTTTTCCTTCCACAAATTGTGTTATGATTTACAGCTACAAATAAAACTCTACAATGTAAAGTAATGACCTTTTAGTTTTAATCAGACTGTCTACCTTTAAACCTACATTTAAGGCTAAGTTACAACACGGATTTGTGTTTCAAGCATTTTATCACTTACCCTTTAGAGTGGGATTTGCCAATATTATAAATGTTTTCATACATTGAACATCACATTTGGACATCAAAACAGTTTGGCCAAAATTATTAGTAGCCATCTCTAGGGTCAAGAAGCCTGGCCTTGGATGGCTGTACTCAGCCAGACACACAGGCATGCAGGGTGCTGCTGCACAGGGTCATCACAGCTTTCTCTCCAGACCAGTCTTGTCCAGCATGCTAAATACTTCAGCACAGACCAAGAGCTCTTCACCCGTTTTTATCCTGAGCCATTTGAAGTACTGAGCTTTTACAAAGTTACCCTGATGCAGCTACTTTTGAACCATAACAAACCAATTCCTTGCAGACTGAACCTACCGCTTTGAAAGTATCAGAACAACAGGACATCCTCTGAACCAAGGGAACCAGGTGGCAGACTCTTGTTCCAGATAACAGTAACATATATTCTCCTACTGATAAGAAGTATTTTATCTCTGGAAAAGAGATCTACCAGTGATACCTTTCTAATAGCCTTCATTTCTGCCGAGAGTAACTATCATAAATGAAGAAATAATATTACAGAGCACGTGCTGGAGTAGTTATCTTTGAAGTAGGCTGACTTGTCTGGGGCACAGGTTTTAAGGAGAAATGCAGAGCTCCACCACTGGAATTCCCAGGGGTTTTCACAGGTGACTTGACAGGGGAAACACCTCAGGGATCATCCAACTCTTATTCACTGAAACACATGAATTGTCTTCCATGGTTATCAGAAAGACCCACACACTATTGTCTATTGTCTATTTTCAATTACACAGTCTCCCAGCAGCAGTTGTTTACATGGAAAAGCCACATTATGCACTTTTCTACAGGAGGTTATGCAAAACAGTAAGGTTCAACCCACCTCCTTCTGCCAGACTAGCTCAAAGATAGATCCTGACAATGGGAGAAGGAGAGGGAGAGGGATAAGGTGAGGGAGAGGAAAAAGGAGAAAGAGAGGAAGAGGGAGAGGAAAAGGGAGCTACTGTGTCAAATTGCTGTCTTGCCATGCCCTGACCAGTAGAACTTCACCAGCACCTCAGGGGGAATTCTTTGAAGCAGCATTGCTTCACTTGTGGCCCATGGATCTGACGGTCAATAAAACAGCAGAGAATGGTCCACAAAATACTATTTCCAACCACTGTCTGCACTTCCAGGAAGTGACAGGTGATACCATCAATATTAAGCAAAATGTTCATCATTTTGAAAGACAAAAGGGAGAAAAGGAGGGCAAGAGCCTGGCTAAATACAACAAACTTCAATAATTTCTCTATTCTACTCCCTTCTCATCCCAGTCTTCAAAGAATGGTCACATACAACGTAGTCCTTTTCACGGTAACAGCACTAATAAAACTAGATGTCTTTTCAATGTAATAGACTCAGGAACAGTGCTACAAAGGATTAACTGAGTATGGCCATGTGAAGCAGCCAGGAAACAGCAGCACTTCAGAAGGGGGTTCAGAGCATGCCCTTCCTGGAACAGTACCCTGATACATCACTTTTTAAGTCATCTTTGCTCCCCCAGGTGTAGGTTTGCCCACATCAATTTTTTGACGCGACTCTAACTTCTTGTAACACAGTTCATTATGTGGAAAAGAAAACATCCAGTATCACATACCTATAGACCAGCAGGAGCCCCATCCAGCCTAGCTGGAGGAAAACTTCGTCTAAAATCAAATCTTTTCTTTCATCTTCAAGTGAAGCTAAGAACAGCAGAGAAAAGGACCCATGTTTGGTACCTGGGACAGGTACAGAGCTGTGCCCTATGGCCTATGGGTATGGATGGGTATGGATGACAGCTGGGGACAATGATAAAGGTGATTGCCTTCATCACACTGTTTGCAGCAGAGGTCTGAGCAGACCTTGTGAAAATAACTAACAGGGATGTCTTGTTACAGTGTATTAGGCTTAGTAACAAAAACAGAGGACTGCAGCATTAACAGAAAAGTAATACTTCATGCATTTCTACCAGCCGTGGGAAGCAGTAACTTAGGCTCAAAACATTATGACTGTGTGAAAAAAAAAGAAAAAAGTCAGAGTCTTGGAATTTAATTGCTGCCATTTGCTAAACACAAACCTGAATAATCTGAAACCAGAAATACATATCTTGTATTCAAGCTAGAAATCCCCTCACTTTTTCACAGACCTTTGTTTTCTTGGGCCAGATTATTTGCACATCACTTTACCAGACTCTTGCCCTTCTTTGAGGAAAATATATCAAATCCCTGTCCCTACAGCACTGAGCAAGAAGAACCTGCAGCAATGAGATCACAGGGAAGTGGGGAACTTCAAATCTGGTAGTTCCAGACCACTTACCTGTCTTCAGTCTTATTCTAATCTTCTGATTAGAGCTGCACTAAGAAACTTCTCCTCAATAATTACATCAGTTCACTACATCGGGAATGTTCTCCTTTGCTCACAGTCAAACTTTTGCTGGTAGTCTATCTTAGCATATCTGCTTAAAGTAACATGAGCTCATCCTGACAGCATGCCTACGTCCATCATGTGAGCTCTCACTGGAGCAGCTCTTCTAATGAAGATCATTAACCATCACTTTCAGGACTCACATAGCTACACTGACACATGTTTGTAAAGTACAGAAATAACATTTGCAAGTCCTGGCACAGATATTTTTGAAGCAAAAGAAAATACATCTTAATAACTGAATTTTTTTTCTCCATCTGGGCCTGCAACTTCAGGACCTACTCTTGGAATGTGTTTAGCATGTTCTCAGGTGTGTCACTTATGATAGGTAGCGTGGGTACTCATACAGGTGAGACAAAGAGGAGCTGGCACTGACACAACTGAATAGTAACAGGAGAGCATTCAGCAGAGCATCCATATTGCTGCCCTCTGTAATTACATCCAGTAATAGAAAGATATATTCCTTCCACATACCACACAAGATCTGAATTTCCAGCCTCTACTTCTCTGAGTTCTCAACTCTTCATAGGGAGAGCTATTGTGGGAGTTACAATATTGTATTTTTCTGCCCTTGGGTTGTGTCATTACAGGTGGAAGAGGTACTCCCTGCACCCACCACACAGATACTGTTCAGTTACATCTCCTTGTGGTTTTTAGCCTGTGTATTTTTCATAATGAACAATGCAATAAACACGGAGTGTTTGCAGTGTTAAATCATGTTCCCAAAGGGAGTAGTTTGTATAACAAGATAAAATTATCACATTATAATAACTAAATATGCATCAGTCTAAAGCATGCTTCAATTAATCATCAAAAGTTTGCACCGCCTCTTTAGGTCTTAATTAAGCAGAATGTTTGGTATGTTTTTTCCTTTCAAACCAGTGTGAAGGAGCTGCAGAAAATTGTTCCTCTTAAACCCAATGAGCAGCAGTTTACACTAATCGATCTTATATGGAGCCATAATTTAGAGAGATGGGGGGAAGTGAGGGAAGGCAATGAGTAAAATAGAGTAAATCCATCATGTGCAGTGCTGTCCCTTTATCTAAGCAAACCAGCATGACCTACAGTGTTTAGTACGTTCCTAAAACCCCCACAATTCTGCAGCTAAATCCTGATCAGTTTAGTATGTTTTAGGTTGCAACACTCTGCTAATACTGTTTTGAACTATCTGATATATATTTTCAAT